GTACAGAATGGTGCCTGTCCTCAGACAGGGCTCTGGGCTGTTGAATGCACCAGCTTATTATCCCGTTTATTTCAGAAAGGGACAAATCTTTCTCTAGAGGCCCCTTTGCTTTAACCAGGGGTTACAGAAGGACCCTAGCTCAGATGAGGCCCCCGACTTTTAAGATTGTTCAGTCTGGTGAGAAGAATCCTACGCTTGCCCCCGTAGCCTGGTGAAAGCATTGTGCTGTGCCCTAGGTCCTAGCCTATGAGTGGGCGTAATAAGAAGTGAATCTGGACCGTGTGGGGCAGGGAGAGTGCCTCTAAAATGCAGTTGCTGCTGTGCAGCCCGTCCGTCGGTGGCAGCCATGGCCGCGGCAGCACCGTGTCTTTATTACGGAGGTAGGAGGGAATTTTGGAGCGTTCAGTACAAACCGAGCCTGAACTGCGGCTCCCAAGTGGACACAGTTTGAAGGAGTGCCTAGAGCAGCTGGCGGCGTGTGGAGTGGCTACGAAATATTTGAAGGCAACGTCTGCTGTAGGAAAGGGAACAGAGAGACCTGCCTGTACGCACTGTCCATTCTCCCATTAAAAACTGGGGCATTGTAGTTGGGCAGACTGAAATGAAGTGAGTTACTGTTGCTTACGAAGGAGGGGAGGATGAATCACAGAATCACAGAAGATGGCCAGACATTTGTTTGGAGCTGCGCAGAGACATCAAAGGCTCCTAGGTCCCTGACTGCCTAGGGGAGTGAGGACAGAAATAAAGCTGAAGCAACCAGCTACATGCATTTTCTGGCTGTTTTCTTCTCAGCGTTTGGTTGACAGCATCATATTCACGGGCATCTGCATCTGTTCACCACAGCGAACTGATTTGCTTTAGCAGTGATCTTCAGGCTTTCCCTCGCGTCTGTGAAGTGTTCTGAAAACGTGAAGGGCATGGTGAGAAGCAGGGTGCCAACAGCCAGGCAGCCACCGAGGAGGCAGCGCCCACCGAAACGGTCCCACTGCCTCCAGCTCCCACCAGAGAGCGGGGAGACAGCAAGGGGGAAGCTTTCCCCCGCGCCGGGCTTCTCATCTGAAAGTGTGTGCCACGCTAGTCTTTTAGGGTGTGTTTTTTCTCTCTTTTTTTTCCTACATGTGAGTGCTGAATTCTTATTAGGGACGCTGCCTGAGAGACGAGTTCGACTGCTGCGTCCTCCGTTAGAAATGCTGTTTTGGAGATCCTTCAGGTACAGCGTCCTGTGTTTGTGTTCCTTGTTGTGGTTGGAGTCCTCCTTTGCTTAGGGATCCCCGTTATTTAATTTTTTAAGAATATAGAACAAAGTTTGGGCTCCTGATAAGAAGTATTTTGAGCAAGAGAATTTAGCGGTAGAGAACGAGATTTAGAATATGCCACATAAAAGATGAAAATGTGGAAAGAATCTAAGATTGTGCCTAAATCTGCTGCTGTTCAGTGTCTGACCAGGCACAATTGCTGTCTTAATTACCATTGAACTGGGTTTCTGTAGGTCACAGCCCCGTCCGAGAGACCTGTCTGATCCACGTACCGCATCAGCCCGTGGTCAGCAGGTACCTGCAGTAAGCAGAACCACAGGCGGGGCTCCGCAGCCGCGTGAAGAAATCTTCAAGGATGTCCGAATTCTGCGGGAAGAAACGGCGCTGGAAAATCAGGTGGTGGCATTTCTGCTCTGGAGTAGGTAAGTGGCCAAGTCCTGGTGTGACTCTGCGAGCCGCTGTGCTGCACAGAGTTCACCACGTGTTGTGTGAAACCTCCACAGTAACGTTTGTTTTAGTGCCTTTACCTTACTTTAGTGTTTCTTGTCTTCCAGAAATGTCATCTGGATGACCTTTGGATGGCCGGGGTGGCTGAAGTGGGCGACAGACCCCCCCTCTGGCAGCAGGAGAGCTCCCGCTCTACCGAGGAGGGAGCGCAGGCAGCCGGCGGGACGAGCTGGGAGGGAGCGGAGCCCACGCTGTGGGGAGCCCCTTTGCTGGTCTGAACTGGGAGCCAGCCAACGAGAGGAGCGTGAACTCACCCGGACGGGTCTGACTCCTGTGGAAGGGCTCTTCCAGCCTGTGCAGGAGGAGGAGGAGGAGGAAGGCCCCACTGTATGAGGGTAAGGCAAGGTCGCGTGTATCGGCAGGGGCTCAGGAGCAGTGTTTGGGCTGTGAGCAATTTGCTTTGCTGTATGTGGTTATTAATGACCTGGTGCACAGGAGGATATGTGTGAGGAGGATATTGTGTTTAAACCCTCCCTCGCTGCATATTTCATAACTGCAGTTTATTAAACTGAGTTTGGGAACGGTGAGCACCGAGGGCAGAAACCGCTGGGCACCTGATGGCTGCAGACATGCGCGCGTGTCGGGCAACACCCACTGACTGCCACTAAAAAAGGTGATCCAAGGTTTTAAGAAATACAATGTTTTATTTTTGTTTAGAAAATAAATAAGTCAGAAATTTACAATACATAATTCCAGCAGACCGCGTGGAGTGGCGGTCGCTGCTCGGCTGTCAGCCCAGGCTCGGACCATCTCGTCTCTCACACCGACCTGAGCTGGAGGTGGGTCTGGGGGTTTGGGGGGTGTGGGTTTGGGTTGGTTGTTTTCTGATAGCAGCACGTAAAGCGTTTCTCAATGCCATTTCTAGTGGTAACTGTTCTCCTGCAGCAACCACTGCCTGCTGCAGGTCTGCTGTGCCTGAGCTCCCTTCCCCAGGACAGACAGACACGCGAGAGCAACCCGAGGGGTGAGTGGGGGCTCTGTTAGAGTGAAATGCTGGGGAGAGGAGAGCGCCGGCTGCGCCAGTCAGGAACACCCCTCTGCTGGTGCCTCAAATCCAGGGCAAAGGGTTTACCAACAAGAGAGTAGAAGCAGCTCCTTTTTCAGACCGTGGGCTCACCCGTTTCTCTTCTATGGCTGGGTGTAAAGCGGGTCCCTCCCCACCCCTCCCCCCCAACTTGTGACACTGGTGACCGCAAGTGCTGGATTTTGCAGGGTCCCTGTGACCTGCAGCCAGCGTGCTTTGGCAGGCTGAGCGCCGCTTCTCGGGTAATGTTATTTCAGGACGCGATACGAGGAAGGTGAGGATGTGGCTGCTCTGTACTGAATTATTGCTGTTTCCTGCTTTTTTAGATCCCTAAGCAAAGTCTGTCTTAAATGGTGCTTAAATGGAAGAGGTGGACTTTAAACTCCCAGTTCCTTCCTGCTGGCTGAGGGAGAACTTGCTGTGTCAAAGCTGCTGAGTGCACAAGGCCATAGAAGAGGTGAGAGAAAGCACGTGGGGATGCAGGGGACAGTGCTGCCAGTTCTGCGTTCACAGAGTGGGGCTTTGCCATCCTGGACAGTGGAAGGGTGAAGATGGCCGAGAGGAACCTACCCGGGTTCTGTTGCAAGCCAAGACCGAGACACTGGGAACGCGGACCCTCACGCGTGCGCTGCTGGAAGGCTTCGTCTTGGTGGAGACAGCCAGCGGCAAGTGCACGCTAGGGCTAAAGGGGCTGAGGACCATTCGCCCGTCGACAGCGTATGGCCAGGCACCACGTCTCGCTCAGCGTTAGGCCGTGGTGTGAGCTGCAGCTGTGGTGTCACTGGGGGAGGAATGGCCGTTAGGTACAGGCATTTCGTGAAGAAATGCAAAGTGCCGAGGGCTTTGAGGGACGATGGCTGCAGGACTCCTGCAAGGGGTGAGCAGCCAGCAGCAGCATGTAGTCCCCCCACCCCCCCCAGGGTCCTAAAGAACATGGGCTTGGGGGAGTTGGGCTGGTGTTGGAGGAGTTTGGTTTTCCCAGCAGCAAGGAACATTCTGCAGGTCACTGCTGAGCCCCCTGTTGTCGTTAACCTGGGACAGCAGCACGTAGCAGGAGCTCCAGAGAACTGCCCTCTGCTACCTGAATGGGTAAGTCAGCATGTTTTCTGGTGAGCCACACTCGGCTCTCTGTGAGGGAATCTCACGGGCAATGTCACTGGCTGGTTCTTTGTTTGAGCAACAGAATTATTGTCAAGTGGTTTAGAAATCTGGTTACCTGATGTTATCCTACGCCCATAATACAGAACTAATTTAGCTTCATCAGAAGAAGTTTCAGTGAAGCTCTACCAATGTCAAATTGCTGCAGATGAGAACTCTGCAAGTGTTTCTGTGGTAGCTGGCACAGGCGATGAGGCTCTTGGACCCCTCCCGCTGTGCCCTGTAACTGCCCAGCGAGCCTGCTCAAGACCAGCAGGGTCATCAGCAGCCACAGACCCAGAGCTGAGAACAAGGGGAGCTTGGAAAGAAAGCAGCAAAGGCACAGTGCTGGAAACGCACGTTTCCACCGCAGGGAATGCTGGTTTATGTGGTGGGGAGACCAGCGCACCAGAAACTGTCCTCATCTGCCTGGGTGGGGGTGGCAATTAAACAGCCAGCGCTGGTGGGGCAAGGAGTGGCACGCTGACAGAGTGGTGTGGGGTTCTATCACCCTGCCGAGCCTGTCCTACAGCAGCAGGCAGCGCTGCCAGAAGGAACGGCGCTTTAGAAGACAGCTGGTTTTGCTGAGCACCCACCACCCGCGCTTACCGGTGTTTCAGGAGACGTTCTGCTCAGGTGGACGGAGCATCAGGCGGGTGCTGGAGAGCACCTCAGTGAGATTTCCTTCAAAGGGGTCTAGCTCTGAGAGCAGGCTGCTGTGAAGAGCTGCATGTGACGAATGATGAGGGAACTCTAAAAACTGAAGTCTGCATCTATGAAATATTAACGCGGATGCTGCTGTGAATGCCAACAACCAGCTTGTCCTCAGCCACAGGCCCTTTCGCGCTGCTTCGATCCCTTAGTGCTGAGGCTGTGGAAGACAAAGGGAGCCAAGCACTCCCTGAAGGGTGAGCTCCCCAGACTCCTTCCACTATCTAGGACAATAAAGTAGTAAATTCCTGAAGGATTTCAGGAGGTCCCAAGATGGGAAAGGGATAGTACTAGTTTGCCAAGCTGGTCTTTAACGTCCCTATATACCTGTGTCTATGTGGAACAGTAAGGAAGGGCAGCGTCTCTCAGAAAATGCTTTCTTCAATCTTGACATCTGTTGCAGCTCCCGGGCGCTCGGGCACAGCTATGAGAAGCCTTGAGACCTCTGCCACAGGGATCTTTTCTTCCAGTTGTTCTGCAGGGCCTTGTTCTCGCTCAGGAACGCTCTGAACTGCTTCCTTCTGAGTCTCTGGCCCGCCAGGAAAGCCTGCTTTTGCGTAGTTCTTCACCACCTCCTGCACCTCCATATTCAGACTCTTCAATTTCTCCTCGTACTCTGCCAGTGCCTCCTGCTGGAGCTGCAAACAGAGACCTCGGATCATTCCCTGAGCACGGATGCTAAGCAGACGCCAGGCTGAGAACGGTAGAAAAACCTGCTCCAAGAGAGACCAAGGTGATACGATGTAGGCACTTCACAACTTTGGTCTCAGCCCGGTGCTGAAGGGCTTGTGGCCATCCCCGGGCAGTCCCTGGCTCCCCTGCAGCTGAGAGCGGGGAGGGTCGCTGGTTTGGTGAACTCATCTCTTCTAAAATCACACTTGAAATTTCGGGGCTTTTTGTACGGCTGGGTGAATGCTGGTGCTGGCACGGGGCGGGAGGAGTGCAGCCCCTCTGACTCAGAAGGTGGCTCTGCAGGAGCCTCCGCAGCTCCAAGTCATTCATTTTGTCAGCATGGGGAGGCATGGGTGGCTGACGCGTGCGTGTGGAGGATGAGTGCAGCATTAATTAAAGAATGCGCAAGGAAGCCTGATGCCCTCTAGTATTTTGGATTTACTGTACTGAGTAACAGCACCAGCCCTGAGCTCCATCTTTGCCTTTACCTGGCTTTCTTTCTCCTTGATTGTTCTCAGATTATCCGCCTGCTTCTCCTCCAGTTTCTGCTGATACCGAGCTGTCCTTTCTGTCACCTTTAAAAAGAACACATTAAAAAAAACCTTAGATGTAGTTTTTTATAAACAAATGCTTTAGCAATCCAAGCTCACAACAGTAAGACACAGGGTTATGGAGCACGTGCCCCAGTATCCCCCTTTTTTCCGGTTCTGGACAATTCCTGCGGGCTGTGAGTGACTTGGGTAGGACTCCAGTGCTGGGGAAGCACTGCAAGAGTGTGTGCAACCTGTACAGGCACGGGGGTCTGCTCAGCCAGGGGATGGCTCTCCGAAGGGCGAAGGTGAGGTCCCCAGGGTCTCCTCCCCTTCTGCAGAACGCTGCACGCTGTTCCATAGCTGGGGGGGGGACACTGCTCATCAGCTGTGCCTCAGAAATACCCCCGCATAAGAAATGCAGAATATCCTGGACAGCAGCGCTGCGCTGCGTCTCTGACCGGGTGGGAGGACTCCCCAGACCCGTACGGACCTGTGGTTCTGTAGTAAGGGTAGTAGCTGTCTTCAGCTGCGCTTTGGCTGTCTGAATTCCACACTCGGAGTCCTCAAGGCAGCAGCCATTTAATGGGATTTAAAGGCCTCGGAGGCCTTGGCCCCGTCCATGGGACACGCGGATGTTGCACGCGAGACGCCCCGGCTTGGCAGACTGTCCCGGGAGAACTTACCAGTTTGATCGTTTGCACCACTTCCTGAATGTGAGAGTTGTTAATTTCTTTCTTCAACCTTTAAAGAAAAGAAATGTATAAAAACTTCTAATCCATCTGCTATCTTTATATAAAACCTGTTTATCAATCCTGATACAGCGCTGTGCAGTAAGACAGGGCTGCTGGCGCCCACGCAGAGACAGGTGCGTGCCATTCTCCTCGCGCCCTCCCACGTTGCGAGGCTGCTGTCATTTTAGGAAAGGCAAATACAACACTATTCAAATCTGACCGAGACGTAAGCCAAATAATTGGATGCAAAATTCTATTTTTTTCAGCCTAACAGACAGCAAAAGGACTTTGCTGTGAGCCCAAGGAGGTAGCGCACCCGCTCCTGTACCCTCGAACACGTGAAGCTGTTACGACTGATCCATATCACGCAGTGCCTGAACGCACAGGCTGGGGACCAGGGTGTTATTTTCGTAACGGTGTGAAGGGGAAGGAAGGCTGCAGCCCCTGTATGCCTAAACGCGACCGCTTAGCTGAAGGGGGTGCTGGAACTGGCTACCAACAGATCGCAGAGGGGCTGGGAAGACCTGCCTTTGCCTGCAGGGCCAAATAAACACCCCCCCGAGGCGTGAAGGTAGGCAGGACCTATTTGGAGGTGCTCCTAGGCTTCAGCTGAAGTGACGGGAAGGCACGTCGCCGGGCCAGCGAGACGCTTACGTGTCACACAGGAGAGCCAGAGCCGGGTGCAGGGGAGGCTTGTCTTCCAGGGACCTCCCCTGCACCTCCTTACGAGCGCCTACTCGCTGCAGGGGGGCAGGGGGCATCCACTACCTGCCTGCTCGCTTTCCCTGCTGGTGCCAGGCTGTGGTGTAGCGCTGTTCCCTGCCGGGAGCAGGGCAGTGAGCGTTCTGCACTAGACCAAACCTAATAACACAGAATCATTAAGGCTGGATTAAGTCCAGCCACCAACCCACCACCGCCCTGCCTGCTAAACCATGTCCTGAAGTGCCACGTCTACATTTCTTCTGAAACAGAATCATCTAGCTCGGTACCTCTCCTGAGCAGCCTTGTCACTGGTATTCCTCATCATGGTTTGGATGCGGTCCACTCTCTTTGCCTCCAGCTTCTTCTTAATGTCTTTAATATTGCTGTGGAGAGAAGAGAGGGAGGTGAGACAGGCCTGACTACAAACCCCAGAGACTGAAGCAGCCCCCGCATTTGCTCTCTGGAGTGCTCTGCTCTCCAGAAAAGCAATGTTGGCGTGATTGTGCAGCAGAAAGCCCGAAGTCTTGAGAATATTTCAAGTCCTGTAATGTTTTCTTTTTCTTCATGTGAGTCATAACAAAAGGACAGGAGAAAAAACATGTACACATGCTATATGACCAGGTTGTATTGTATACCTAACATTGGGTTCCTCTGGAGCAGCATGAGACTTGCTGAAAGTACTTACACAGCTAAACGAGAAAGGAAAAAAGAAATAGAAAAAAAGAAGGAACCACATGGCTATATAGGAGAGCTGAAGACCTGAAGCAAGCAGACAGGCACATAAACTATGGGATGTGACTTGCAAAGCAAACCCATGAACACTTAAAAGGCATTTATCGACCAGTAGGAGAGAACAAACCCAGAAAGCCCAAGATCTGCGCGCCCTGACCGAAGCACATGTAGCCATCAGAGCTGCAAACTGCGGGACGAGGCAGACGGAGGAAGGTGCTAGTGTCAGGGTGTAAGAGGCGGCTGCAGCCCTGCCAGTTCCTCATCCCGGCCCTCCGCCTAGGAGATGATCACAGCTGCTAAGGCGCCCACTGGGACGGCCGCGGCCCATCGCTCCGGCGTCCTGCCTCCAGCAGCGGAAGGAGCTGTGCTTAAGGGAAGCGTCAGAAACAGAACAAGCGTAGGGTAACGTCTCCCTCCTCCACCTTCCCGGCTGCCAACCTGTCCTCCAGCCTCTACGCATTTATCTCCCTGGAATGTCTCTCGTACCTTGGAGCTTAGCTTTACTTTTGCACTTATAGCTCCTTGCCCTGAGAGGAACAGAACTTCATTTACAGGCTGTGTGACAGAAGTACTCCCTGAGAACTTCACTGGGTGCCCCGTGTTTCCTTCTTCTGAGAAACAGTGAGTAATCACTTCCCTATTCTTCTTCTTCATACCATTCATGATTTTACACGCTTCTGTCACATCCCCCTCAATCATCTGTTCTTCTAACGAAGTCCTAGTTAATGTCTTTTTGTACAGCAATTACTCCTCACCGCTGCCTGTCCTTGCCCCCCCCTTCCTGCTCTTTCAGCACTTTCTGTTCAGGGTGGCACACTGAGAAGGTGACTGCACTCTGGAGACAGATCCAGTGGCACAGTGCTGACTCTGAATCTTTTTTTTTTCTCCATACAATTCTAAAAATCCTGTTTGCCGCCCTGGCCCCTGCAGAGCTGCGAATGAGGAGCTGTTTCAGAGCAGTACCTGCAGCAGCTGACAGTCTCCTTCCTGAGTGACAGCAGCTCACCCCTGCGTACAGCTGAGCTGTGGCTGGGTTTTTTCCATTCACAGTATTTTGTATTTATTCAGCCTGAATTTAACTGCCGTTTCATTGCCTGTTGCTCAAGATCTTTAAATCTTTCTGGAGCTCCTCACAGCCAGCTGTAGATGTGACTGTACTGAATGACCTGGTGCTGGTAGCAAACCACTACCTCGCTACTCGACCTGTTTTTCTTAGTCTGGTCCGAATCTGCTGAATAGCTGAGAGAAATGGAGAGCCTGTCCTGACGGAGGACACGCAGAGAGGAGGAAGTTTTGCCTGACTCAGCAACCAAAGGCTGAGATGGGATTTAATGGGAAGGAGGAATGAGTGAGGATTTTCGCTTCAGGAAGAACAAATGGATAAATGCCTGGCTGGAAATTGGTGAAATGATTCTGCCAGTTTGTTTTAGTTCTGGAGCCAAGATGCTCAATTCACTTACTCGACTGAGCTGAACAGTCCCTGGAAGGGCTTACGTGATGTCCTGACTACCGCAGATAGAGACGCCGTCCAGTGACCAGCAGTCGTCTTCCTCCCTTCCTGAATTAGTCAAGGTACTTGCTGCACCCTGTCTGGTGCCTCGTGCCGCCAGCACTGTTCTGGAGATCACGGGCCAAGAGCCGTCTCCCCACCGCTGTCGCTGTGTGAGACCGTGTCGCTTCGCTGCGCCTCAGTTTCTCACCAAAGCCAAAGAAACGCTTCTCTTCCCCTGTATTCATGCACCGTCTGCAGTACAGCGCTTGGAGAGCTAGCAGAAAACACCACCCCAGATAAGAGCTGTGCATTATTACTTGGTTACTCAAATGTGAAGCTCACCTTTCTGATGACTCCTTCAGTGCCTTCAGCTCAGCTGTCTGCTTCTCTCTGGCGAGCTCTGTGATCTTGGTAACTTGCTGTTCAAGGGAAGAAAAGATCAAAACCGAACAGACCAAGGTGAGACAATGCACACCATCCGTATCTCATTACCACCAGATTCAGCTTCATCCCTCCCCGCGCTGAATTCCGGGGACCAGCTGATCCCAAAGGCACCACCGCAGCGAGTCCAGCTGCGCGCACCGATTGCAGCGCGCCAGCAGACCGACTCCGCCGCTCCGCTGTGAGCCGCGTCGCTCCCCTCCGGGTCACCGGTACGGACACCTTCCTGTCGCTCGGTGCCGGAGGCAGCACCAGATTCGCCGTACTGGTGGGTAGGTGGGAAACAGCAGCAGAGCTTACCTTCTGAACAGAGGCTAGTAAGAGGTCTGCACAGCTGCCCCATCAGAGACAGCTGGGAAGGAAGAACCCTGGCTGCTGAGCCGCGTGAGGTTTCTATCTATTTTTGTACCTTGCCCTCTAAATCTCTGTAAGAGTTGTGAGACAAGGATGTTTTATTCCTTTGGCCTCTCTCTCTGCTGATAAGCGTGATTTCCAGGTAAGCTAGGTCTCAAGAGGCAGTTTTTTTTCCCCTCGGGGTTGGTATAGTCTAGACCAGCCAGTCTTGTTAGACATCTTCCAAGGTGCTTGTCAAGCCAAAGTGCACCCGGGAACCTAAGATTTAAGACATACAACGCAAACTCTTTTGGAAAATAATGATAGGAAAAGGTGTCCAAATCGTGGCATCATCCCCCTTTCGCGGGATCAGACAGCGCATGCCATCTCCATCCTCACCATCCTGTGGCCTGCACTTTGTCTGCAGGCACCACTGTGTCTCTTGCTGAGGTTTGCTCGGGGTGGGGAGGTCTGCGGGTGCGGAAGCACTGATGCGCTCGCAGGACTGACACCTTACGTGGACACTTACCCCGGCTTCTAAAAACCAAAACACTTTCCTGGTTACAAGAGGGATGAGATCAGCCCTGCTGCTGTGCGCAGGGGTGGTCCTAGGAGCACTGTCCCTTGCAAGGCTTTTCTGCCCTGTGGCCACGTTTCCAAGCTCCCAGCTTAGCAGAGAAGTCAGGCTGTCCTTGCAGGGGCTCTCCGAGGCTGTATTTTCTGTTGACACTTGCAGCCCTTACCTCTGCGGCGTGCTGCTCTTTCTTTCTTCGAATCCCATCGTGGTGTTCCTCCCCCAGCTGGATGAGGTCCATCTCCAGCCTCTCTCTCAGTTCCAAAATTCGGCTATCGACGCTTTCTGCCATTTCTACAGGACTTGCACACGTACCAGCATCGCCTCTCGTCAGACTCCTGCGGAACAGACAGGGCAGCTGTGCTGCTGCTGGCGATGCCGACAGTCCCGGCCTTCCCACCCCGCCGTGGGAACACCGGGCACTCAGCCGGGGAGGTGGGGATGCCCGCACCACTCCCTGCTTCCTCCAGAGAAGGGGAGCCCCTGTTTCCCTTGGGGATCCCTCTGCCTTGGTTTGGGGAGGTGACCCACAGGCCAGGCCCTGCTGGAGACCCTCTGCTGTATTTACCTCTTCTTCTGCGTTTTCCTCGTGTGCATCATCCGTTTCTTGCCTCCATAGCAGACAGGCTCCGAAAAGAGTACAGAGTATTTCTGCAGCAGCTCCTCCCTCCGTTTGCTTCCTTTCCGCTCCAGCTCCTGCAGTTCCTTCTCCTGCTTCTTCAGCAGCTTCAGGAAGAGCTTCATCTGCTGCAGTTCTGCGAGGCTGGCTGTCTGAGGCTCTAAAACACAGAATAAAGAGAGGCTGTTTTCTCTCACCCTGGGTGATGTGTGATTTTGGGGTCAGACAGGGTTTTTCAGCACTGCATTCACTCAGCTTTTCCTCCTTCTTTTCAGCACTACCCGCAGCGCAAGTCACCTCTGGTGGCTGCCTGGCCTGGGGACAGCCAGAGGAATTGTGGCCTTCTGGTATTTCGGCCAGAGGGACACACGGTGCTGACGTGCTGCTCTGCCTTGTATCCACAACTGTAAGTATCCCAGAGATGGCACAGTTGTTCAGCTAGCTGGCAGCTCTACGGGGAAAGCTTTGTTATTTCATTACTGATTTTTTTTGCAAAACAAGAGTTACAATGCCAGGTGCTTTCATCCCTTGCAGTTTTAACGCCTGGCATTTCTTCTGTTGTGAGGAGTAAACAAAAGGGCTTTTGAGGTAGAGGAAGATGAGAGGGGAAGGATGCCCGTGAACTTGTTATCTAGCAGTGGTTATCTGTGGCAGAAAGGCCACAGGGAGTTATCTTCTCAGGGGAAGTAACTTTCTTTTTTTGGGCTTGGAATGTGTAAAAATTAAGAGAACTTGTGGGTGTGTCTGCAACACAGCGCTGTGCAGCGTCAGCTCCTTCCAACGGGCTCACGCAGAGGAAGCTGAAGCGTACAGCTTAAACACAAGGCTCCCGGTCAACAAGTGCAGGCTTCAACCCAGGGCCCGCTGCGCTTCCTTACCACGCGACGCCTTTTACCAGGGCACGTGTTTAAATAATTGCAGCCAGCGCCTCCGAGGGCTAAAGCTGGAGCAGCCCACAGACCTTCTGACCCACCTGTGCAGATGGCAGTGGCCCAGCTCGTGTGAGGCACGGACCGTGGCAGCTTCAGGCCTCTCTTCTCCTTGAGACTGCTGTGTCCTACACCATGGCAGTTGTCAAAACAGGCAGGTGGTGCCACAGGCAGGGACACCGGGTCCCCGAGCCCAAAGATGCACGTGGTTTGTCTTTAGTGCTGGCTACCACAGACAGGGTTGGGTCCGGTCTTTTTTCATTTGAGAAACGGGCTTCATCTCTATCCCAGTCAGAAACTGGGCAGAGAGGGAATGCAAGATGTCTGACAGGGCCTCAGCCCACACGAACAGCACGAGACAAGTTACCTGCAATCTGTGTCACTTCTATCACATTTTCATCCTTGGCGAAAGCCGCTGCTCCTGAAATCACAAAAGATGTTCCTGTTGATGTTCTGTCTTGGATCTTCAGGTTGAAAACGGTCAGTGGAGAGCTCAACAAGCACGTGGGCCACGTGCAGGATGTACAAAGGAATTAAGCTGCTGAGATGCTGAACTGCTTGGGAACTTTGTTAACAAGCACAGCAGAAAGGGAACAGGATTCTCTGCCTTGCCAGAGAAAAAGGCAAAATACATCTGCTTTGTGTTAGCTGAGTATTGCTAGTGAGGATTTGCCACGTGTAAAGTTTTGATTAGGTGAGAAGGGTGCTGTGGTCTGAAATTTGAGAAAACTGATTGTTTTGATACCACCATCTCTGAAAGGACACTAATCACATTGATACAGTTAATATGGAAGAAATACTGATCAGCTGTGAATTACTATAAACCAGAGTAGAACAGAATGAGGTCATCTCAGTGCACGGCAGGGGATATGTCCTCACCTAACCTGCAAACACTCTGTCAGTTAGCTTGGATTAGAAGCATGTTTGAGGAACACTCCTTCTGGCACTCTCACAGATACACCTTTAATGTTTGTTGGCTATCTTGTCTTGTAAGGCCAAAAAGGTGCCAGTATGAAAGAAACAAACATACTGTTAGCAAGATCCCTCTCTGCTAGAGCTTCTTACCTAGTAATAAATACTGACTTTGTTGATTTCTATTAAAGCAAATCCATAACGTTTCTCCAACTCATCTGACTGGTCAGAGCTAGGTAGTTTTTGCCCTTGTTATGATAATGGGTCCCAGTTTAATCTAGTGGTCAAAACACAGCACTGCACACTCTTCCCACTCCTGCAGAACGCCAGACGTGGGATCTATTCACTCGGAACTTGTAATGGATCTTGTAAAGAGTTTGGTGTTCATCTGAGCTGACGAATAACATCACCAAGCTCTAAAGCTCCCAAGAATTATACAACTGGACACTGGTGAAAGCACAGCTCCACAAGATGCAGAGTTTTCAGGGGGACCTAAACATACTTAAAATGTCAGAAATCAACAGTAATCTACAGAGAGAGACCCCAGAGAAGAACGACAAAGAAAAGAAGAGCAGTGAGGTATTACGGGATAAAACCAAGCCAGACCTTAACACCTTTGTCTCAGAAATATCATGTCTCTGCTCAAAAATTCATGTCCAACCTCCAGCTTCACACTTAAGATGAAAGGCTACATCTCTGCCACAGGCCGCTTCTTCTTTGGCAGTGGTTCCCCCCCAGGGCAC